AAGGACGACATACCTCCTGACATCTACGAATGTTTTGATAACAGCATAACAGGAAAACATGGTTTGATATAATCAATTTACTGACCACTGACAATAAAATTTGTTTTATCTGAACTGCGTCTGATATCCGATAGAATAAATTCCAGCTACAAGTCAGCGTATCACAAACATCCAACAAAGACAGATAGATCTTAAAACTAGTAAAGTCATTTCTCTCGTGCCAGGGCTAGCTTTGCCCCTGCCAAACTCTAAGGGCTGAAAGTCTACCAGCAGTAAACTACCTTGATACGTAAACCAATTACTTTAAATGCCAAATAAGGATAAACTCATTTAAACTTTGGTTTGTAAATGCAGAAAGCCAAATGAAATATAGATTGTACTGCGCCATTGGCCATTTCGTCCATTTAGACCCATAAGCACCAGTCCAGTAAACTGACAACCAACCAAATAACAGATTATACACAGTGTGAATGTGACAAGGAAACAGTCACCAGTTATGGTATATATAACCCGAACACAAGGATCTTGTTTGAACAGCTATGGTCATTTAAGGACACGCCAGGTTTTGCTGGTGGAGGAAAGCCGTAGTTCCCGGAGAAAAACCACCGACCAACGGCCAGTACCTGGCGATTGCCCCACGAAGGCCTCGAACTCGCGAACCAGTGATGGAGGGCTAGTGGTACAGCAGATTGTCAGACGCCTTAACCACTTGGCTACCGCGACCCCATAGGATCTACAATCGTACTGCAAAACATGCCAGAAAAGGCGATGGGAATCATAATAATAGAAATACAAAAAACACCTGGAATATAATATGGTTAAACTGTAATGAACAAAAGAGAAAAACAAATAATTAATAGAGATCGAAATGGTATCAAACTCAGGGGTAACACTCAAGAAGAGAATCGAGAACCTAGCCGCTGTCTTTTGTAAATAGTGAGTCTTACCAGAGCCACTATGGCGAGTACCAATTAAGATAACAGTCAAGGTTAACAACTACAGATACATTTTACATGTAACATCACTCACAAACAGCATTGCAAGAAAAGCTGAAACAAAGTCACTTCAAACACTGCCATTGATGACAGTGGGGGCAACATCATTTCCTAAAAACAAGTTAATACGAAAACCTCAGAACACATGTTTACCTAGGCCGATACCTTACCAAATACAACAGGAATATTATAAGAATAGTGGAGGCATTCCCAAAACTTGAAATACAGCAGGGATCAATACCGATAGATAAGGCAACAATGTACACAACATGTACGAGCTAATGAAATAGATATAGATTCCGATCTTAATGGTCAGAATGGATATCAATCTCAGCAGTGACGACATCTGGGCAATTGGATGTATATATATATATATATATAAATAGTACAGAGGTAAACAAGTCAATATCATGTACGTTATTGTCAAAAAATGGTGATATCAAGAACGAGAAAACCAACCCTCACCATTCATCAAAACAGAGGATGTCGGTAGATAAACCAGTAACATCCATCAGGCTAGCAAACATTGAGGACGGTTAAACACACATCGAACATGAGAGAGGTATGGAATATAGAGAGGAAAAGCACGACATCGAACATGAGAGAGGTATGGAATATA